CACTTGCTCTCGTGATCAAGAAACATGTGCCTCTATGCCTGCTGTGTCTGCTGAGCCTGAGTCTAACCAATGTAACTTGTCTAACTCTATTCAACAAAATGGCCAAATGATTTCAAATATTGTTGCTACTCTTGCTAGTCAAGGATCCATTGGTATATCCACTGCTGGTGCTGTTGATGATGTATACGTTGCAGTACAGAAAATACTACAGATACAGAATGCAACTTCTGTATTGAACTCTGCTACACCAGTGTCCTGTAAAGCTATTAAGGAGGTTCTGCCTAATAGTCCTACTGGCTACTATTATGTTAATGGTCGCAACATTTACTGTAATATGGAGGAGCTGTGTGGTTCAGGAGGAGGCTGGACAAGACTAGCGTATCTGGATATGACTGATGCTACAGTGAACTGTCCTTCTGGGTTTAGACTGCACCAGTCAGGAGGAGTTAGAGCTTGTGGTAGATTGTCAGGTTGTACATCAGTTCAGTTCCCATCTAATGGTATCAGCTACTCTCAAGTGTGTGGTAGAGTAGTGGGATATCAGTATAGAACCCCTGATGCAGTTTATCCAGGTAGATATGAAGATGAAATATACGGTAGTGTCATTGAACCACATCACAATGATATTAATTCTTATTATGTTGATGGTGTTAGTATCACTCGTGGGTCTCCTCGTCAACATGTCTGGACACTAATGGCTGGATTAAATGAAGCTAGTTTTTATGCTGGTACTAATGATGGCCGTTACAATTGTCCTTGTTCTCAAGGTAGTCCTCAAAACTCAACTCTTCAGTCTTTCATTGGTAATGACTACTTCTGTGAATCTGGTAATCCTTCTACTGATGGTACATCACTGCCCATACTCTATACATCTGATCCATTGTGGGATGGTAAAGGATGTAATGGTTTTGAAGGTGTTTGCTGTACATCTCGTCCTAGTCTTCCATGGTTCAATAAGATGCTTAATACTACCACTACCGACTACCTTGAGCTGAGGGTGTGTGGACAAGAAAGTTTAATTAATGAAGATGTTCCTGTTAGCTTTTATGAGTTGTATGTCAAATGATGACAGCATGAACTAAAAGCTAAAAGCTGTGTGTGTGCGCTGTTCATTAGACTAGTAGCTGCTTTAGTTGTGTGAAACTTTTCTGTAGTTGTGTAGCTGCATATTCCTTTTTTAATAAAATTTTTGCTGTTATAATTATATTAAGGGTGGGGGTTTACTTTCCAGTTACACACATCACATTAAAAGCTGTGACCTGTCATTCATTTCCCTTTCCTGTTGCTAGGATACAGAGGGTGTGGTCACATGTTCAGATGAGACCAGACACAACCTCACTGGTGAGGATTGTGCAATACTTTGCTGTTTATGTGTAGTTAGGACATTTCTTTTATTAAATAAAATTCTTGCTGTTGTAATTGCATGTACATGTACATTTTTCAGGATAGCTGTGCGATCTCATAATTCATAAAAATCCAAGTTTGATTAAAAATTTTAATAACGTGTATTATGCATGCATGCATATTAGGCATATTTGATGGGGTTTCTTTCATTTCAGTTACGTGTACAGTATGTGACAATCACTGTTATTGGTGAAACCTTTACTGGTGAAATAGCTCTGATTGTTTGTGTGTACACGTACATCAGGACTTGGCAAGGGGTGTTTCCTTATTGTTTCACATTCTTCTATTTTAAAAATGAAAAACTTATTTTTTGTACATTCAATATGCTGTTATCATAACCATATTGTAGTATTTACTCTAGAACATGACACGGGAATACTATATATACATAGCCATAAAATTGTTTAGTCATTGTTACATGGTCTCAGTCTGTTGCTGTTTTTTTATAATGTCAGACCCAGATAATGACAGACTTCAACCTGATGATAATGCAGACCCAGATATAGCTCCACTTCAACCTGATGATAATGCAGACTCAGATATAGCTCCACTTCAACCTGATGATAAAGCTGGTGTACGAGGATGTCTAAGGCAACACTGGCAAAAATTTACTCCCTTGGCTCTGTTGGCAGTAATAATATTATTGAATGTTATAATCTTGTGTATTTCTGGGGTACTTCTCAAAGCTACAGCTACAGTTACTTGCTCTTGTGAAGAAACTCAGCAACAATCAGCAGGATTTACTGGAGGGAATGATGGCAGTTACATCATGTCTGCTTTCTCTAACTTGTCTGGCTTGATTAAACAAAATCACCAAATAACTTCAAACCTGTCAGACTTTGTTCAACAAAATGGCCAAATGATTTCAAACATTGTCGCTACTCTTGCCAATCATGGATCCGTTGGTATATCCACTGCTGGTGCTGTTGATGATGTATATCTTGTAGTACAGAAAATACTACAGATACAGAATGCAACTTCTGTATTGAACTCTGCTACACCAGTGTCCTGTAAAGCTATTAAGGAGGTTCTGCCTAATAGTCCTTCTGGCTACTATTATGTTAACGGTCGCAACATTTACTGTAATATGGAGGAGCTGTGTGGTTCAGGAGGAGGCTGGACAAGACTAGCATATCTGGATATGACTGATGCTACAGTGAACTGTCCTTCTGGGTTTAGACTGTACCAGTCAGGCAGTGTTAGAGCTTGTGGCAGAGCAGCATCAAATGGAGGCAGTTGTACATCAGTTCAGTTCCCATCTAATGGTATCAGTTACTCTGAAGTGTGTGGTAGAGTAACTGGATATCAATTTGGATCAACCGATGCAGCTTATTATGAGCATAATGGCATTCTGAATCACAATGATATTAATTCCTATTATGTTGATGGTGTCAGTATCACTCGTGGGTCTCCTCGTCAACATGTCTGGACACTAATGGCTGGACTAAATGAAGCTAGTGATAATTATCGTGATGGTCGCTACAATTGTCCTTGTTCTCAAGGTAGTCCTCAAAACTTAACCCTTAAGTCTTTCATTGGTAATGACTACTTCTGTGAATCTGGTAATCCTTCTACTAATGGTAGATCGCTGCGCATACTCTATACATCTGATCCATTGTGGGATGGTGAAGGATGTGGTAGTCTTGAAGGTAATTGCTGTACATCTCGTCCTAGTCTTCCATGGTTCAATAAAGCACTTGGCACTACTACTACTGACTACCTTGAGATGAGGATATGTGGAGATCAGGGTACATATGATGAAGATGTTCCTGTTAGCTTTTATGAGTTGTATGTCAAATGATGACAAGTAAACTGAGATTAAGTAGAAGCTGTGTTTGTGTGTACTGTTCATTAAACTAGTGTAGCTGCTTTAGTTGTATGAAACTATCCTGTAGCTGTGTGGTTGCATATTCCTTTTTTTTAACAAAAATTTTGCTGTTATAATTATATTAAATAAAGAGGGTGGGGTTTACTTTCCACACATCACATTAAAAGCTGTCCAGGCGCAGGCCTGTCATTCATTTCCTTTCCTGTTGCTAGGATACAGAGGGAGTGGTCACATGCTCGGACGAGACCAGGCACAACCTTACCGGAGAGGATTATGTAACATTCAAAGAAGTTGAAGGAATGACTGAACTCAATGGCTGCCAGCCCCGACCAGTTAAAGAATTAGGTATACATATACATATACATTGGTTGTAATAGAAGTATTGTACTAATATCTTTGTAAAGGTCCCTATACATTCTCTATTGGTGATACGACTGGTTTTAGTGACTATGTTAAAGGAGGTGCTGCTGTTCAAGTTAAAATGCCAAAGACATTTAAATTTGTAAGGAATATAAATTTTTTATCTATTTGTTTATTATTTGTTATTTTATGTATTAGAAATCCATTAATGAGTCGTTGAATGAACCTGAGTTTTTGATATCCGATTTTGCAAAGTTTGAAAGACCAGCACAACTTCATATTGGATTCCAAGTAAGATACACTTACTTATTGTGTACATATACCTTCACTCTCTCTCTCTCTCTCTCTCTCTCTCTCTCTCTCTTTCTCTCTCTCTGATTCTTAGGCTCTTCATTCTTATAAGAGTAAGTGTGGTTGCTTGCCACGTCCTTACAACAGAGAAGATGGTGCTAAGTTTCTTGAAGTTGTCAAGGAAGTCAATACTGCTGCAGTTGCTAAAGTATAATGGAGAAATAAATGCCATATAATGCATGTAATTATTTAGAGATTGATGAGAAATTGATGATGAAGCTATCATACTTATCCAGAGGTGACTGTAGTCCAATGCAAGCTGTAATAGGATCCATCACTGCACAGGAAGTTATGAAGGTAAGACAGATAAAACTCAATGACCTGCATAATAATGATATCCTTTCTTTAGGCTTGCAGTGGTAAATTCTCTCCTCTTGTCCAGTGGTTTTATTTTGATGCTCTTGAGTGTTTGAGTGAAGAGGAAGGAGGGGATGAGTTACCAGAGGCAGCTGCTGTTCCTCAGGGCAGTAGGTATGATGGACAGATTGCTATATTTGGATCAGACTATCAAAAGAAACTGGAACAGTTGAAATATTTCATAGTACGTCTAAATAAACATACTTGTAATCTCTTTATCTTCTCATTTGTACTCCTAAAGGTAGGAGCAGGTGCTATCGGCTGTGAATTGTTAAAGAACTTTGCTATGATTGGGATTGGTGCTGGCCCAAATGGTAAAGTGTTTGTAACAGATATGGATCATATTGAGAAGAGCAATCTTAACAGGCAGTTTCTATTCAGGTCATG